CTGTGTCTCCTACAGCTAATTCTAATGAAAAGAGGAGGTCGCATAATATATTATGGGGAGCTGGGTCAGCATTCAAATAAGCTTGTTGAATACTTTGAGGTAAGAATTGAAAAGATAAAAACAATATGCAGGTTTCATTTTGGCTTCTAGCATGTTTGCCTCAATTCCTGTTGTTTCATATTTCCCCTTATTAATCACATTTTATATATAGCAATAAAGAACATCTCGGAAACCAGAATTAAAGAAACATTGACGCCACTGTAGCAACTATTTTTCGACTCATTAAAATCTCACAACAATAGGAAATCATAACAATTAGCGACCTTTCTGCAGGGTATACCTGGTGTGCCAAAAATCAAAGAAAATTACAATCCAGCAACATGGATGTTAGAGGTCACAAATCCATCCGCAGAAGCTCAACTTCAAGTAGATTTTGCATCTCTCTACAAAGAATCCCATCTGTACAGGTAAATCCACCATGATAAGTGAGTCAAAAACACTGTACTGTGAAGATGACAAGATTTATTATTAATATTATTTTTCATCATTAGTATTTGAGACCTGCAAACAGATTACAGAAAAATTAAACCTTTAGAAAACAGATTTCATGGCTGCATGTCGTAGTCAATTGATACCAAGCAATTTATGAGTTTTCTCTCCAGGAGAAACAAAGAACTAGTCAAAGAACTGAGCCTTCCAGCAGATGCTTCTGAGGAATTGTGTTTCCCAACTCGCTTTCCACAAAACGGATGGGAACAATTCAAAGCATGCCTCTGGAAACAACACTTATCCTATTGGAGAAGTCCCACATATAACTTAGCACGCCTATCAGTGGTTACTGCAGCATCTTTGTTATACGGAGTGCTACTCTGGCAGAAAGGACAGAAAATGTAAGCTGTTTACATGATATTTTTCATGTTGATATTTCTGCTCACCATTAAATACCCCAAATAATTGTATTTTTCTGTTTTAAAAAAATTAGGAATGCTCCAAAGTTGTAGTTATTGAAACACTAATTGCTTGGGGTCATAGGTAACAAACTCACCAGCTAACACTGAAAATTTGTCTTCTGTCTCAAGAGGTACCGAACAGGATCTTTTCAACATAATGGGATCAGTGCATATTTTCATGATAATCATTGGGGTATCCGGTTGTTCGTCTGTGATGCCATTCGTAGGGACTCAGAGGACTGTTTTCTACCGAGAAAGGTTTGCTGGAATGTACTCCTCATGGGCATATTCATTGTCTCAGGTTTGGAAAGATCTCTGAAGCAGTTCCTAGCATTCCATAAGGTCTACATTAGATCTTAAAGCTTGCATGTCCTGACGTAAACCTTCTTTTATATGCAGGTGATTATTGAAATTCCATACATCTTCCTTGAAGCAGTTTTGTTTTCGATGATTACATATCCAGCAATAAACTTCTATAAGTCAGCCTACAAAGTGTTATGGTTCCTCTACGCCATGTTTTGTACCTTGCTATACTTCAAATACTTAGGCTTGATGCTTGTTTCATTGACTCCAACTTCCCAAGTGGCAGCAATATTCGCAAGTTTCTCCTCTACGCTACTAAGTTTGTTCTCAGGGTACCTCATACCAGAACCAGTACGCTAACCCTGTCTTTCCTTTGCTCAACAAATACTAAATCATATTCACTATTTCATCATTTTATGATAAAATTCATCAACTAGGCATACACATTGCAGGATAGTGACAAAGGTGCACATCATTTATCTTGAAAATTTCACTAATCTTTTCCATCCTTTACCTGTGTAAAATGTTTCCACAACCTGCAGTAGATTAAAAAAAGAAAAAAAAAAAAAAAGAACACTTGGAACAAATTCCAATTCAGCAGACTCAATCCTGGTACCTTTTACTTGCAGCAAATACCTAAATGGTGGGTTTGGGCTTATTGGATTTGCCCGTCTTCATGGTCCGTGGAAGGGATTGTTACTTCACAATATGCAGATGTGAACAAGGTAATCACAGCATTTGGAGAGCAGAAAACAATCAGTGCCTTCTTGGAAAGCCAGCAAGGGTATAAACATCAAGATTTACCCATCATAGCAATTGTACTTCTTGCTTTCCCACTTTTCTTTGCATCCATTTTTGCATACTGTATATCTAAACTGAACTTCCAAAGGAGGTAAAGAAAGAATGCTTAATATGAAGAGTTTTAAAGACAAAATTTATCCAAATAAAAGAAGAGTTACAATTGAAATTGTAAAACATTAGTATTCAACGGGAGGATCCTTACCCAATATTAAGTTTCTTTTATGTAATACTTAGTATTTTATAATTTAATTTAATAATTAATATTTTAGTACACATTAAAAAATTACTCTTTTTTCAATAAAAAAGTTAAGAATATATATACTAAAATGTTAGTG